GCTTTATATGCAGCTTGTATGACAATTGCAGCTTCATCTGCATTTATACTTGGTTTAACTTCACTCAGACTTACTTCCTTTTTATTTTGTTGATTTAGAACTGTATCAACTGTATCTCTATAAGTAATAACATCGTGTTCAATTTTAAGATGCTCCAAATCTATATTTGTAGATAATTCAGTTTCCTTTTCAAGGTCATTTAGTCTACTCTTACACTCTAGTACTCTTTTTGGAGGGGGGTTTTCTTCTTTAATTACTGTTAACCTATCAGTACTCCTAGTAAAAGACTTAGCCATTTTATAAACAGGTTTGCTGGACATGTGATTGGACCTATCATTACTTTTAGGACTTTTTAACTTTGATTTGGTTTCAGAACTGAAGGTCACACTTGCTGAATCAGATATTTGGGATTTAGCAGACAACTGTTTGGGATCTGGATTATCATGTAGACTACCAACCTCAACATTGTCCTCAAAAGGATATGGCACAATTTTTAAATCTGACAAACCCTCAGCCTCTTTAGATTCGACACTACGACCAGTCACAAAACCAGATTCTAATGAACTTGATACACTCTCTGAATTTTCACAACATTCCCCCTTTTTTTCCTCTAAATCAATTGAAATCTTATATGTATCATTCTGTTGTGTCAAAATACCTTCAAGTGCTGAAATTAAGTAACGAGCACTGTCTGGATTGATCTCTCTGAACTGTTTTTTGTATTGTACACGAGTCTGATGTGCTGTGTATGCAGCCTGAAGTGTTGTTATTGCTGCATTTAACCTTTTTTCAGTAATTTGTGGTTTATTTTTTGACTTTGTAAAATTACCCTTGACTGCAGAATGATGCTCGACTTTAGAGACTTTACATGCTTTTGCTATAAATTTTTCATCCTTACTTATTTGTTCTCTACATAACTTTCCTCTAAATGCAGCCTGGAGGACTGTAACAGAAATTTCAAGCTTCATTTTTGTGAACTTGACCCTTGACCTGAACCCTCTGAATTGGGACTGAATTACAATTGCAGCCTTCTGCTTGGTTTTACATTCAACCTTTGACTGAATTAAGATGGCAGCAGTTTCACTTTTATAATTCACCCTTGACCTATGACCTCTATACTGTGACTGAATAACAATAGCAGCAGCTTCTCTTTTTATATGTTGATATTTGATCCTTGACGTATAACCTTTGAAATGGGACTGAATTACCACAGCAGCAGAATCCCTGACCTCAATTTCATGTTCAACCTGCTGTTCATAACAACTGTATGAAGAATTGATAATCAAATCAACAACATCAATAGCCTCTTCATTTAAATCATGTTTCATATCTTCTAAGTTGGACCTATATTTTCTAAATGCTGTTTGAATGACTTTAGCTGCCTTTTGCTCACCCATTTTTGCCTTGAGATTTAAACGTGAAATTTTACCTCTTACACTTGCAGAAATAACAGTAACAGCTTCAGTCTTTTTCACATGTTTCTTAAATACTAACCAAGCTTTCAAAGATTTTTTAATCAAAAGTTTTGCTTTTTCTTTCTTTTCTCTTTGTTTTCTGTATTGATTTCTTGCTATAAAACCCTTATATTTTGATTGGATCACAGTTGCTGCTTTCTCTTTCCTTTCTTTTTCTTTTTTAAGAAGCAACTGTTTGAATGCTTTCTGAATTATCCTTGAAGCCCCATCCATCTTTTCCCTATGTTTAACATACACCTTCCTGGCATGATAGCCCCTGAAGTGTTTCTGAATAATAACTGCTTCTTTGGTTTTGTGTAATGTCTGATCTTCTGTTTTTAGTTGCTTGCTGTCAATATCTTCTTTTGCTATATTATCACTTTCTTGTTTAAAAAGATGTTTTGATTTTAAGCTTTTCCTAATAATTGCTAACGTATCATCTGATTTTTCATTTTGTTTAAGCCAATCAAATCCCTTCTTTCTACTTAAGTAGGCATGGCAAGACGCTTGTAAAATAGTACCAGCTACAAACTTTTGTTCAGTTTTGTCCTGTTTATGCTTATTGTATGCAATTTGAATTTTTGTTGCTGCTGCACTTTCAATTGAACTAAGTTTTTGTTCTGTTTTGTTCCGCTTATGCTTTTTGTATGCAATTTGAATTTTTGTTGCTGCTGTATTTTCAATTGAACTAAGTTTTTGTTCTGTTTTGTTCCGTTTATGCTTTTTGTATGCATTCTGAATTTTTGTTGCTGCTGCATTTTGAATTAAACTAAGTTTTTGTTCTGTTTGGTTATGCTTATGCTTTTTGTATGCAATTTGAATTTTTGTTGCTGCTGTATTTTCAATTAAACTTGGTTTTTGTTTTTCTGTATCATTTGGGATTGTTTTAGTGCCTACAAAGTCTTCATTAATTTTGTTTATCACAGAATTCGAATCTTCATCTTCTATTTCTTTCCCTATAACTGTCAGATCTCTTTTACACTCCCCATTTATTATTTCAATTCTAGAAACAGAACCAAAAGTAACCTGTTTTTTCACATGGAGCTTTTTGTCCTGAATTTTGACCTTATCCATTTTTCTTACCCTATAACCTCTGAACACAGCTTGAATTTTGACTGCAGCATCATTCTGACAAATGGCCTCAACCTCTGTGTCATCGTCAAAAGTATGAAATTCAAGATGCTTACGAAGAATCATACCCCTAACTGCAGCTTGGAGAAGAGTCACCTCTTCAGAATTATTCTGAAATTTCATTTTCTGAACAGCATAAGACCTAGACAAATGACCTTTTACCCCTGCCTGAAGATATGTAGTGGCCGAGTGCTTTATTTTAATCAATTCTAACTCAATGCTTTCATCTTCAATTTCTCTCAATAAACTAGTATCTTTCTTTTTCCAATCAATTTCAACACTTTCATCAAAAGTACCAGTTCTGCTTGTTTTCAAGATAGATTCAGTATCTAGAGTATCAGAGTCTCCAAAACTACCTAAGTGGCCCAAGTTTGATAATTTTCCACATCGACTATCAACCTCCGTCCTACCACTATTATCACATTCAAAATTCACAGTCAGGCTTTCCCCATCCCCTGGGGACCGTGTATGTAAGTCAGTATCAATAAAGTCCCCATCAATTGGATCACTAGCCTGGCTGTCAGTGGCCGATCGTAGGCCTTCCATGTTTGAATTGTCAGATTTTCTAACTTCAAAATATGGAAAACTTTTATGACGTTTAGACCTAGCAACGAAAATGGGAAACATCTTTTCCATATCTGATTCCAACATTTCAGGAAAAGTATGATGCTTGATCATAGATCCAAGGAATGCTGGAATTGCCTCTGCACTTTTACAACGACTTGAGTCTAAGTTATCATTTTCTATACTCTCAATTGTACCAAGCTTGTCACATTTAAAACTATCCTCAGTAAAAGACTGAGACTTGGGTAAAATAACTATTGGCAATTTTGAATGATTCAAAGCTTCTAAATTCTGTATTCTTAAGTCGCTCATTTTACCAAAAGTTTTCGATCGTCTAAGAGCAACTTTTATATCATCTATACTTGCTGGCATTACAGGTTCTAAACTGAATGAAGACCTTTTAATGTGCATCTTTTTTTCATCAACAAATGTGACAGCTTTACATGACAGCAGTTTGGGTAGTTTTAAGTCTCGATTGTTTCCCTTAAGTGATATCAAAATTTGACTATTTTGCTTGGGTAAACTCAAATGTTCACTCTCTTCCTTAGACCTTGTTAAATTTTTGCTAATTTCTTTAAACAATGTTAAGGTTTGACTATTTTCCTTGGACAATGTTATATTTTGACTCTTTTCCTTTGACATTGTTAAATTTTTGCTATTTTCTTTTGACAATGTTGAAGTTTGACTATTTTCCTTGGAAAATGTTAAATTCTGACTTTTTCCTACAGACAATGTTGAATGTTGACTAATTTCTTTGGAAGTTTTCAAATTTTGACTATTTTGCTTGGGCAATGTTACATTTTGACTATTTTCCTCTGGTAATGTTAAATTTTGACTATTTTCCCTGGGCAATGTTAAACATGGACTCTTTTCCTCTGGCAATGTTAAATTTACCATTGAATTCTTACCATCAAGTTTAACTTCATCACATTGGGAATCCACTGATCTTTCAGATAATTGTTTACTACATTCTATAGTATTGCTACCTTGACTTCTTTCTCTTTTTAGTGTCTTGTCAAAACTCTTATTTTGAGAGTCATTTTGATTTTCCATGAGGTTTATATCATCACTAATTTTGGTCTCCTCTTTGTTTACAGTTTCCCTATCAGACTGTGACCCCTTTAGACTTAAGGAATCTACACTGGTCCCGATCCCTTCACTCTCCCTTAAATCAACATGAGTTCCCCCTCTACTACGTTTGCTTTTCTGAGATATGTTAGATACAGTTTTGGACATACTAGAATCTAAAGGAACTATGTGATCATTATCATTATGACTTGAAAGATTGCTTTTTGATAAATTGAAAGGAGATTTTGTACTTTCTCTTTTTGATAAACTTGAGGGAGATTTTGTACTTTCATTTTGTTCATTAATATCCCTGTTTTCAGCAAGATCACCTACATTAAATAAACTGTTAGACAACTGTTTATCATGATTATCACAAAATACCTTTTTCTTTTTCACTTCTTTTCTTGCTTGATGTCCTCTGAACCCAGCTTGTATTTTCGTTGCAGCTTTTTCTTCTTCCTCATTTTGAGCTTTTTCTTTCTTTTTTTGATCCACTTCCTTCCTTGCTTGATTTCCACGGAATCCTGCTTGTATTTTAGTCGCTGCTTTCTCCTCTTCATTTTTCGTTTCTTCCCTTTGCTGTTTCTTTTGATTTATTTCTTGTCGAGCTTTGTGTCCGCGAAATCCTGCTTGAATTTTCGTAGCGGCAGCTTCTTCTTCTGTATTCTTCTCTGTTCTTTTTACCTTTTTATCTGCAATTTCTTTTCGAGCTTTGTGACCTCGATAGCTCGATTGAATTTTAATTGCAGCTGCGTCCTCTTTAGAATTTTTCACATCACGTACCTGTTTTTTCTGGTTGATTTCCTTGCGAGCTTGATGGCCCCGGAAACCTGCCTGAATCTTTGTTGCGGCTTGATTTTCTTCCTTGGCTTGTTTGGCTCTCTGCTCATCTTCTTTCTTCTTTTTTTCATCTGTTTCCTTCTTCGTCTTTAAGTCGTTCACCTCTTTTCTGGCCTGGTGACCTCTGTAATTGGCCTGTATTTTTGTTGCAGCCTTTGGAAAAAGAATTTTAATGATAAACAGCAATGCCAAATATAGTCTTAATCCTATATATCAAAACTAAATGATAACAAAATAGCTTTAAAAGACCACTAGCCATAAGCAGTGCATGCCAAAGTGATGTTTAAATGTGTTTCGCAATTTTATTCAAACATGCAATCCCACATCCAAAAGCACATCTACTAAATATTGTATATCAAGAATTTTCCATGAGCTTTTTTTGTATTATCACTTGAACAGCATATTCTAACTTTAATATTTTTAGGCCAAGGAAAATTTATAAGAACTTTGGATAATTTGAAATAAAAGCAGAGCTGGTCACCTGCTTGTTTTATGCCAAATAGGGAAACAGATGCCCAAGTAAATGACCTGATATACACTATTTGTCTTCAGTGAATAACCAGTTTTAACAAGTTTCATTGAATAATTTGTATAGAATTACATATTATCCATTGGTTTGTGTGTTGTTTGCTTTTAATTGAAACAGTGCTTTTATACATTTAGCTTCTTTGTGAATTCTGTTAAATTACTTCCAAACTAAATAATTTCAGTGGTTATTTTGATTTGATATCAGTATATGATATCCGAGTGTTTCTGTATTTTTTAGTTGGGGTGTGCGTTGCTCAATCTTTAGTTTTTCAATGTGGATTATACTGTTTGTCCTTTCAAGTTCTTTTCTTTTGGTCATGGAATTGTATGCCTTTTTTTACTAGGAATTTTTAATATCGTATTCTAACTTTAATTTTATAATTATAAATCATGGTGATAAGGATAATTGAGATGTTTTCTTGTTAATGATAAGTCTACTTACCCTTGTTGTAAATGTATAATAACTGAATGACAATTCACCTTTTCAGAATCTAAAGGATTATGGGTAATTTCATTTTTCGTATCACAAAATGAAAATAAAGTCATGTCATTGGTTGAATTTCCATTGTTTGAGATTTTTTTGACCAATCACAATGTTTTGGTGTACACTTTTGAATATATTACCCAGAATGAATTAGATTCTGAAATGGTGAATTCCAGCAGAAGTCAGCATTTGTGAAGATGTCATAAAAAGATGATGAAAGCAGAAACTGGACAAATAGTCATGGCATGCTTACAGGAACAAAGATAATAATAGAAAGCAGCCATATTTGAGGAAGAAAGACAAAAAAAAAAAATTTATTTGCTAAATTTAGAAATGAGGTGATAGCTTAGGATGCTACAAATAAATGAACAACATGTGAAAAGCTTAGCAAAAATTCAAAACTGAAATTGACCAAGAACATACGAAACTGATCAAGAACATACAATTTCCCAAATGAACAAAATAATGTGTAATCCAAGAGTAATGAAATACAGAGAAAGATCATTTATGGAAGCAGATGATTGATTGATTGATTGATTGACTGTTGGTGTTTAACACCACTTTCAGCACTCTTTTGACTATATAGTGGCAGTCAGATTTTATCAGTGGAGGAGTGCCTAGAGAGAACCACCAACCTACCGCAGGGAAACTGGCAATTCTAGTCAATAAAGATCAAAGTCTAGCTGTAGATAACTCCTTAGACCACTCAGCCACAGGGGCCCTATGGAAGCTGTGACAAAGGACAGAATCCTAAATTCATGTTATTTCATGCTATCCTCAAAAGAAGCTGTTCGAAAGATGTATTCTGTACAATGTTCATTGATATTGTTTATCCTTTTGTTATTTTCTTTTTTTGCCATGGTATTGTTGGTTTTCTACGACTCATGATTTTTGGTTATGTGGTCTATTATTTTTTCATATAATTCTTATGCTTCCTGACATATTTTTTATGTATCACATATTTGGCTACTCAAACTTGTGGTCTACAAATGACCTAATGAAGTTTATTCCAGAAACACACATTAAGTGTAATGAAATGGATGTCAGGTTTAACTTTAGAAGATGTGTTGTGTCACTAGATTGGGTGAAGTATTTTTAGAAGAGTCACTGAATGGGGTGAAGTATTTTTAGAAGAGTCACTGAATTGGGTGAAGTATATTTATAAGAGTCACTGAATTGGGTGAAGTATTCTTTAGAAGAGTCACTGAAACAGGTGAAGTATATTTAAAAGAGTCACTGAATTGGGTGAAGTATTTTTAGAAGAGTCACTGAATTGGGTGAAGTATTTTTAGAAGAGTCACTGAATTGGGTGAAGTATATTTAGAAGAGTCACTGAATTGGGTGATCAAAGTATTTTTAGAAGAGTCACTGAATTAGGTAAAGTATATTTTGAAGAGTCACTGAATTGGGTGAAGTATTTTTAGAAGAGTGACTGAATTGGGTGAAGTATTTTTAGAAGAGTCACTGAATTAAGTGCAGTATTTTTAGAAGAGTGACTGAATTGGGTGAAGTATTTTTAGAAGAGTCATTGAAGAAAGAATCCAATCAGCATGACCTATGCATAGTTGTGTCAACTTCTACAAAAGAAGCTAAGAAAGACAGAAGAGAACATGAAGAGAACATGAAATGATTTATTAGATGAAATGCATTAATATAAGAATGAAAGTGAAAGGTAAAAAACAAAAACAATGAAGAAATGATAAAACAAGAAAATTACATGTGTAAATTTTTTTTTCCTACTTGAAAGGACTCTGGGTAATATAAAACATAACTTATACACCAAATAGTGAATTATAGAGTTATTGGCTGAATTTCAATAGTTTTGGATTTGAAACTCATTAATGATTACAAATAGACACAGAGTGAACCCATTGATATTTTAGAAAAAAAAGGCATAAATTATTTACACTTCCAAAAAGAACAACTTTTTCATCCAGTCCCCCTTAAAAAAGACCAAAAGGGTTGGTGGAGGTATGAAGGATGAATAAGAATATTCTTATTACATTTACTTGGCCTAACCCAATTTTACAATTAATCAAGTTATTTTAACATATTTTCTTTTTCAATGCCATACATATTTTAAAGCCATTGAGGGTTTTTATCCATTAATCATAATAGAAATAAAATATTTTGATAGAATTGGAAGATAGATATGGAACATAACATCAATGAAAAGAAATACACACAAAGATAATGACATATTGTTAACTTGACCTCTGACATTTTCCATTTTCCTTTTTAATCATAAAAAATTACTACATTTCAAAGCCTTAATTTCCAATTCTTGTTTTTTTTTTTCTTTCAGTCAGAAACTAAAACTAACTTCTTTCAACGTTACAAAAACAAATTTCACGTCAGTTTTTTTCAGTACCTTATAACTATATATATACTTTAATTTTTTGTTTTTACCTTTTTCAAATAAAAATATGTCTTAAGTTGTACAACACCTATCTTTCTTTTCTACAAACTCACAATAAACTTAAAGAGTGCTCATTGATATTTTTCCATGAGAAAAGATACACCAATAAATTAAAAGTTCAAACAATCTAATTGGCTAAAGGTCAAGTTAAACAATACAGAACAATGACAATGTATTGATGAAGTAAGAACAAAGTACACAAAGTTGGATGTTAGCAACAAACTTTTTTCAAAATTTGACTACACAAGGTTGGATGTTAGCAACAAAGTTTTAAAATTTAGAAAATTAACACAAAGTAAGATGTTAGCAACAAAATATTTCAAATTTTGACAATTACACAAAGTTTGGTGTTAGCAACAAAATTTTTCAAATTTCGACAATTACACAAAGTTGGATGTTAGCAACAAAGTTTGTCCTTAGTAATGTCTACCTGGTGTTCCTCATGAGGTGTTGGATCCTTCTTGTCCTTCGTTGGTGACGGTGATCTGGCTGGGGAGGCAGCCTTGTTGTTTACTGGTGACTTGGCTGGAGTAATAGACCTTTTGTCTGCTGGCGACTTAGACGGAGGGGCAGCTTTGTTATCTTTTGGTGTTGAAGAACGCACAGAATCATGATTTTTATAATTTTTATTATCCTTAGGGGGTTCCTGTTTTTTTACATCATTATCCTTAAGGGGTTCCTGTTTTTTTACATCATTCTTTGTGGTATTAGGTGGGGGTGCTTTACTGTTTGACTTGTAGGTGCTTTGTTTGGTATTTTGCACAGTTTTGTTTTGAGAATTGTTGACGACTGGTTTACTCTGATCCCCTTTTGCCTGTGACCTATCACCGTTTTGAATCGTCCTGCTGTGCGAATGATCTGCCTGCGACCTGTCACCATTTTGCATCGTCTTGCTGTGCGAGTGATCTGCCTGCTTTGTGGGTGGCTTGTTGTTTATATCCTATCAGTGTATCATAGCAACAGTTAGAACACACACAACAAACATGTGAGCAAATCAAAATATATGTGAGACACAAAATCATGTGCAATGCTTTCTTTCACTTCAACACCAAGCATGTATTTAGTTAGTATGGTCGATAGGGAGAATGAAGGGTAAGCAAGGAAACTACTATTTGCAACATTCAAACGGTTTTCTTGGGAGTAAATAATACAAGGCTACAATTTTTGTAAATTCAGAAATTTTTGTGTGTATTTATAATTGAGATTTCAGTAAATGCTGCATACAAATAATTCTATCAAAATTTAAATTCCCAATACCTTTTCCATCACAATTTTTGGAATAATATAAACATTGCAAAAATTCCTGAATTTACAGTACATTTAATGTTTAAAGCTATTTCTCTTTGCTTTTTCCATCTATTGCTTTCACTATTTAGAGTTGGTCTTCCCCATTTCAGCACTGATTGTAAAAATTATGTTTTTCATGTTTTCATTAAAAATTTGGAAATAAATTATGCTTTGTTTGAAGATTTTTTCATATTCATAATAGGTAAACACCTTACACATTTTACACTAAAAAAAATACTTTCAACTGTCACAATTGAATGCCTGAAACAAGGGAAAATCAACTGTAAGAATTGGTAAACATTCTATCAAAATGTAAGCAAGAGGGAATAAGCAATTTTAAATTATCTGGATTTTTTTCTACTTGTGCAAACTGGAAAAGGAATTCTTAGCACAAATACTGTCAGAAATCACATGCTAGGAAGTTCTGTGGATACATAATTATTGATGGGATACTCATTGTAATGCATTTTCATGGATTTCATAGGGACAGGTTTCACTGTGTTATATCATGGTTCCTGAACTTTTTTTTGTTGTTGTTATTCTGTGTTAGGTGTTGTAAATGGGACACAGTAACTTCAAACCATGTGATTCCACACACTAATATGAGCTAATGTCTAATTTTACTCATTTTAAATATCTAAATTTAAACCATTTGAATGCTGCATGTAAGTAATGAAAAGAATGATATAATAACATTAGAAACAAATATGTCAGATTAACAAAGACATAGTTTCACATTACAACACTCAATTTTGCCTTTCGGTTTTCATTTATATTTTTTTTTTTCTTCATTTTTTGATGATTTCAGTTATTATAGGTAATAAGCAAAGCTAAAGATATTTTTTTTTCTTTCGAAATATAGCAGGAAAACTAGCCTGAAAGAAGTGTTCGTCCAAAAAAAATTACCATGAAATTACTGCAATTGCTTTTCTAAGATCCATTTTATATTTCAAATTCATTATAAATCTCTATGTGTGAAACATCTGAAAATGTTTATCTACAAGTAATACAGCAAAAGGCAAAATAGTTTTAAATTTATAAAAAATCTAGCAAAGATCATTAACATGTATAAAATACACAAAAACATGCTTCAAAAAAAAGCCTGAATGAAAAGCATAAAAATGAGACATATCATTGAGTTGCTTCCCTTTAACATGTCTTACAAAGGAAGGTAAGTATCTTTAAGCAGCCATGAAAATATAATTTCAAAATACTGAAGTTAAAATCATTTAAGCATAGAAAATGGGACACCATAGATTTCAATATTTAGAGTTGTGATTATCACAATGGTTCCCCCAAAATCAGATTAAGTGTGAAAGTATTTTTGATTGATGAAGAAATACAGAAAATGTAACTATCTATCTGAAATGTGCATATTGACCTATAAGAATTGGGCTGTTTCACTTGAGCAATTATTTTCAACAAAAACTATGTACAATAAAAATGTTGTTTTTGCTTTTAACAAAAATGGCTTTTGATAAAATCTAAATTGAAATTACAATTTGTAACGGATCAGCTAAACATTATTTTTCTAACCTTTTCATGAAAAAGGAAGCTTGTGCAATGATATGTGTCATAATAATTAAGCACAGTCAAATCTCCTTTATGACAAACTGGCTTCAGTTTCCATAAAAAATGATTCTTCTAAGTTCTTTGTTCAAGCTGATATACTCCTCAACAAGTGAAATTTTGACACTGACGTACAAGTAGGAGGTTTAGTTAGCTATAAAACCAATTTTACTTATGAAAAATACCCTGTACCAAGTCAGGAATATGACAGTTGTTTTCCATTCATTTTTGTAAATTGATGTAGTCCAGCGTTTGGTTTTGTCAGGTTTACGGTATATTCCTTAATACTTTTTTTGATGTGAACTCTTACACAGTGATGTCGTAAAGGAGATTTAATTATAGGCAACCTCTTCATTCAATCTTGGCAATTTTTAAAAACACAATATGCCTAGCAGCAGTATAGAAATAAACAAGAGTTATCCCCCTTCTTATATGCTGACTTAACAAAATCATCAAAAAGTACCATACTGTGGATTCATAATCATTCGTTGGATACCAATTTTCTTGGATTTCGTGGGTACAGGCGAACCATGAATTTGATTGTTCAATGTATTGCAAATGTTCTATAGGCTTGTATGCAGACTTTGGCAAAACAACGAAATCAAATATCCACGAAAATGCAGGTTTTTCTCAATCCACGAAAATAAATTTATCCACAGTATACCATGTTCACCCTCAAAATTCAGAATTATTTCATTAAAATTTTTAAGTGAACTCTTTTTATGCAGTAATTCAGGCATAACGTTGACATTCAAGTCATTTCAATTTTGATATATAAATAAAGAGCAAAATTCAGAGAATAAATGAATCAATTAATCAATTAACTAGTTAATCAATCATTCATTTAATGAATAAATAAATAAATAAATTATTTATCAAAACAGAACCTTAAAAAAAATATTTTTTCACCAAAAAAAAAAGTCTTGGATGCAAAGATACAAAGCTCAAGTAAATAAACACACAAGAAAAAACACAAAAGCACACACAAAGATATATGGGTAAAAGTGATCAGTATTAGAATGCAGTTAGTAGCAAGCTTTACATAACAGTTCAGGAAAATAATGCAAATCAGACTAAAAACAGCAAGTTTTATTTGAAGTCAATAATTGTTACCGGTAATTATTTTGCATGAATGCAGTTGATTGATAAGAAATATTAATCTTTTTCAAAAACTTGTCCGTCCCCAAACACACAACAATTAAGAACATGTACTACATATATATGGAAGTTACAAAGGCACATGAGAAGAGAGCAGCATAAAGTTAAAACTCACAAAGAAAAACAATGCTTCTATACATGTATGAAATTATATTTTTCTGGAGCCACAAAGTGTAACTTCTATCATTGATATGCTTGGTGCTTACTTATAATTACCAAAAAAGTACTTTTTCCTACTTTGTAAGGTCCATAATATGTCTTTAAGTTAGATTAATCAGGGTATGATTCCCATTTTTCAAATTATTTTGGTAAAAACTATATTTGTATTGTTGATAAAAAAAACCCAAAAAACCTTATCATTGCTGTGTTGCTCTACTAGGATGACATATGGAATTCCGTTGAATTAGTAATTTCAAAAGAACACTTGAAATGCATAAAAAAAAAAGACGTCGATAATTCATTCTGCATGATGTCACACAGTGGAGTAAAAGAGGTGGTGACTCAGGGTAACAACGTGCACGGTGCCGGACAAAACACTTCAAAATGGCCGACTTTATAAACACATGCTACGGTTCCTTCTTCTCGCCTCAAATTTCTGTTGATAACAACGCAGTATTCTTTAGTGTGAAGCATTTATTGAAGATTTTATCATGCATGCTTGTACAATAGCTTTATATACACCTCTTTAAACAAGGATGACAGACTTATGAGCCACTCCAAATCACAATGAAGGAACCAAAAAATATTAGTCAATTAGTTATCTCCCAAAGGTTAATTTGGTTATCGTAGAAAGTTAGCCAATATTCTTTTTCATTTACATCAATTTTTTTATCAAATTCTGAAATCTTCATCCATTCTGTCTCAGCACTGTGTGCATCAAGCTACACGAATTTTGAACTTCAGTTTTTTTTTAATCGTAATCATTTAAAAAAAATACAAATGAAGAAGTATTTGAAAGATGAAACTCTTTAGTTATTATTTCTATATATAGCTTGCGATTGCATCAACCAAAAAGCTTTTAAAAAACTTTACTTCTGATTATATATTTTTTGGTTTTGAAGTAAATTTTAAAATCCTTAAATCTCCCATTTTTAGCAAATCTGCCATCTTTGTTTCAAGATAACAATCTGAATAATGCTACCATGCAAAATATTCAATATAAGCATAAAACCCACATAGTAGAAATATAATCACATTCAGCTCAATGTACTTAGTCAAATATTCAAATATTTGATAAACAAGAATATCAATAAACAATTTCAACTATTTAAGCATTAAAAATACTATAAAATAGAAACAAATTTAATATATAATACATGCATGAAATAAATAAATAAAACGTTTTGCCTAAAAAATCAAGACATCCCAAAATGAAACATTAGCTGAATGCACCAAGTATTTACAATATTTAAAAAAGAAGAAATATACAGTTAGTAACGATATAAAGTGTATACAATATCAAAATAAATTTACTGATTTTCTCAGGAAAAACATACAGTAAAAAGTGAGAAAATGTTATCAAAAATAATTCACAGTCTTCAATATTTGCATAATTTTCCTGACTAAAGGGTAAAGGGTAAGAGAACTAACTAAAGGTTGGAGGTATTAGTGGAATCTTCAGTGCTTGGTGTTGAAGACTGAATCTTTATAATGATTGTCTCCCTTTCCCCCATTTCCTGTGTACAAATTTTATAATTCAAAACTCAAGACATAGGTGCAAATACAATGGTGCAAGTTATTATTTTACTACTCTAATAAATAAAATTGAAAGTTAAAAAGGAACTAATCACTTGCCAAAATCTTTTTAGAATTATATTTACCCCTAAATTCAAAACATTTAAAGGCAGTTTTATATCCCATTATTTTTCAATAGGATTAAAAACCTGTTTTTAAGAGTTCCTATATTTTGAATATTGTATTATCATACGTTCTTAAATATTTCTAAATTATGGAAGTAAAACTTTGATACTTAAAGGACTACTTTTCAGAGTTTTAAGTTAAAGCAATAACATTCTCAAATAAAGACAAATATATTGATTTTTTTTAAAGTTGTGACAATATCTGATAATGTCATCAAAAATATCTGCTGATGTCATCACAATATCTGATGATGTCCATCAATATCTGATGATGTCATCACACTATCTGATGAGGTCATCACAATTTGTACAATCCATTTTATTTTAGATACTTAGCAAACAAAGATCGTCTAGTTATTAACAGCACAAAGGTATGATGGCATCTAGCATCATTCAGGCAAAACTTACAAACCAGCATTATCCCCTTAATAGATGGCCACAAGAAACTTGATCTTTCAAATATTTACAGTCAAATTTGTAAGTTATAATTAAGGTTGTGTGCCCTTAACCCAAGATCCTTAATTACATTAAACTTTTGCCCTTTTCCCTTACTAAATACTATCTTGTTGAGCATTCATTCCACTCTTCTCTTGTTAAAAGTTCTTTATAAAGTTTTCTTTTCCTCTTTCATTATCTTTTAAAGCTTATATACAACTGTTGTGTTCAAAACTTGTATTTACAAATTTAAGAATTTTTTAAATTTTGTATGACTAGGTTATTATGGCCAAGCCTAACTCTCTTTATGCAGTAATGATTTTGGCAAGTCAAATCCAAACATGTCATTATTTTCCACTAAGCCTAACTCTCTTTATGCGGTAATGATTTTGGCAAGTCAAATCCAAACAGGTCATTATTTTCCACTAAGCCTAACTCTCTTTATGCAGTAATGATTTTGGCAAGTCAAATCCAAACATGTCATTATTTTCCACTTACCTTTCCTTGTCTCTCTTTCTTTATCCTTTCATCCTGTAATATTAAAACAGACAAAAAATGAAAAATCATTATTTTGCATAAATTTCTTTTCTACAATTATTTTTTCAACACTGTTGCTTTTTAATTAAAAAGAAAAGATTCAAAAAATTGAAAGTTAAACAACTTTCTTAACAACATTTCATCAAACAGACTAAAATCATACTAAGAGGAAGGATGCAGTTAAAAATTTACATTATAAAATGAATTTCTGTGAAGAGTTTTAATATAGTACTCGTATAAATGAGATTAGAGCTTTCGTGAATTATAGCCCATTTTTAATAACTGAATGAAACTATGATATTGATAATCAATGAATAAAAAATATAAATTAGATATGACAGATATATTTTATATTATATTGTGTTAGTGGTGTAAAATGCTGGTTAAAATGACAATGGATACTGCCAAGCATTAGTATGTGTAACATATGATAAAGGGAAATAACTCATTTTGTTTAAATGATAAAGGGAAAAAACTCATTTTGGATAAATGATAAAGGGAAATAACTCATTTAGCATTAATGATAATTTCCCTTGATATCAAATATTCTTGTATTCATAAATTGCATGGTGCATTGTTAAATTGTTAAAGTATGGGTAAAAGTATGAATTCATGAAATAAAAAGAGAGAAAAAATAGAAAAAAAATCTCTCATGTATGTGCATTCTTTCAAGTGTACTTTAACCTTTAATATTTTCTGCTTGCATTACAACTCAGCCGTCAATCAATTTTGCAGAGCCAAATGTTTAGCTCATTGTTTCAAAATCTTTTTCTAGCAGGTTTCATTAAAGCTATAGATAGGCAGTTAGCAGACTGATACTTTTCTACATCTAGAAGCAAAATCCATACTAGCAGAACTACCGTGGTAAATATATTGCTCTCTAAATTAACACAAGTAATATCAAACTGCTTTTTATTCCCTATCAACTTCGTGATATTTTCTTTTTCTCCAAAATGAGCCATTCAATTTTACCCTCTAAGGATCAAGCTAAAGATATTCCAGATATATATAAAAACTCCTATATTTCTATTCAAAGTAAAACTTTCAATTTTCAATTTTTATACATTTTAAATCTGAACTGACTAGCATATATAACATTCATTTAGATATAGGTCAAGGGTCATCTACATGGCATCCCATCATGCAATCTAACCTGTTGCTCTGAAGACTCAGATGGCTGACGACTTAGTTCCACGCCACTTGGAACTTTAGCTTCAGTTTCATCGATTAAGTTCTCCTCTTCCTGACAAAGTTTTAGATAAGAAGAAAAGTGTGAATGATAATAATGTGTGCATAAAATAAAAATGCTTGAAGTTTGGAAATTTTTTATTGCTTAAAATGTTTTTTTCCCATTTATTTCGTACTAAATTTGAAACTTAAAAAGGTTCTTGTTTTCAAATCTATCTTCTGCAGGTTAAAGGAAATGTTTTTTATTTAGTTGCACATATCAATCATAAATATAACATTCATTTTTTTCTTCAAAATTTTAAAATTGTTCAATCAAATTGACTTTAAAAACAACACTCAATTAGACTTATTCATGACTCCAAACTTCAAACAGACTATCTGATAATGATAAGTGACTTATGAAATGTTTGTTATTTTTTAAATAAATCTCCCTTTAACAAATTTGAAAGGTAAGACAACTTTAATTTGACCAAATTATCTCCCCTATATCATTTGATTCAGGACGATAAGTACTAATTGGTTGCATGAATTTTTTTCAGATTCAGATGTTAACCCTTCGAAAAAAAATCTTCTCCCTCAACTTAGTTATGATTACTGTGTTTTACTGTGCCAAGCAGTTTTGCAAGATTTCTAGATGTTTCAGCATGTTTGAGTAAAATAAAAATATAACAAAATATTACAGACTACAGTGCATGATATATTTTTTGTGTTGATTAATCAATGAAGGATGAGAAATGGTAAAAATGTTATCTTTTACCTCTGTCAAACTATGCAAATTTGATAATAACGTGAAATTACAATTTTCATTTTATTATTTTAAATGTTCGTTGTTAGATTTATGTTATTTCCCTGAACAATTTACACCAAAGTCGTAAAATATTTTGAATTTCTATAATAAAGAAAAAAAATTGCATAATTTACTGGTCAAATATGACAAAGAACCAAAACATATATTTTCCCTCTTAAGAATACCACATTAAAAACTACAGTTCCATTTTTAGAGCTGTTCAAAAATAAAATTCACATGATTTAATAAATTGTATAGTCTGACAAAAGTAAAAGGATACAAAATTCAAAAGAAATACATTTGACGTATCATCATAATGTGAGCTGACACACAGGAAAATTTCATTTAGAACAGTTACGGTGCAAGAAAGTTATAATTTTCAAAAACACTGTGCTTGCCATTCCTCATGACAACAACCAAGAGATCTTTCAATCAACTTCCTTTTTCAAAAAATTTCCCATTTCTAATTTTCCTGCATGTGTATTATACTACTAATAAATTAGTAAATTCTGCTATAACAGTTAAAAGATAAACTGAAATTATTGAAATTATCATAAAGTAAGCAAAATAGTATTGTATAAATGGTTTTAAAAGGGTGGCAAATTGCAGAAAGCTATCAACCATTGGAAGAAATTTACTATTTTCTAGCTAATTCACACTTCTAGTCAAGTTCTGTTTTTATAAGCATTCTGTTCAGAAACACTTCATCTTCCAAATGACAGTTACCTTCTGATTCAACAAGCAGAATTATAAATTCATCTTTTTGCGATATTTCATAATAAGTTCAACAATCACTCTGATTTGCTAGATCTTCCAAATTTAAAAGGGTCAGTGTGTACAACGAGAGAGAATTAGACTTTAATTAGTGATGATTAGAAGGTAAAATCTCATCTTCATCTTTAAGGTGTAGATATTTCTAAAATAAGATCTGATTCAAAATTCAATACCTAAGTATTACAATGTTTGATTGGACAATTATTCTTATCACAAATCAAGGGCGGATCCAGCCATTTTTTAAAAGGGGGGTTCCCAACCCAGGTTAAAGGGGGTGTTCCAACTATATGTCCCCATTAAAATGCATTGATCGTCCAAAAAAAAGGGGGGGTTCCAACCCCCTAAAACCGCCATTGCAAATATAATTAAAGTTTTGATTGGACAACCATCCAATAGGATATAAGAGCACATGAATAGTCTTCTATAAAAAAAACAAAAATTAGAATGTTTCATTATCACTGAACTAGTATATATATTTGTTTAGGGGCCAGCTGAAGAACGCCTCCGGGTGCGGGAATTTCTCGCTGCATTGAAGACCCATTGGTGACCTTCTGCTGTTGTCTGTTCTATGGTCGGGTTGTTGTCTCTTTGACACATTCCCCATTTCCATTCTCAATTTTATTGATTTAAGAACTACATAATGGGATGACTATCAGTAAAAAAAAAAAGATTATCTGTAGTTTAAAAATGAATCCCAGAAAAATTTAAGGGCATGAGACCTATGTCCAGACACATGTAACAGATGTAAAAAATATGTCATGAAGAAATGGTTGATATCAGAGAAATCTTATGCCCACATATATCCCATCCCTCATGTGACTACAGCAGTTTGTAATTTAATTACTGCACTTCCTAGAAAATAAAAGTGAAGAAATTTCTATTGACAGAAACCTTAAAAATATGAAATAAAATTTAAAAATTATACAAACTGTTTACTAATCCATTATGATTCTATCTATTAATTTGCATTACCATAGTCATTAGACAGAATAAATACTATTGAACAGATAGTTATCTTTAATCAAGTATGTCTAAGCATGTCAGATACATCATACTTGGTACAATGCTGTACACCATTTAAATTTTTCGGCTACTGTTTATCTTGTGAAATGTTCATGATTCATTTGAGATATTGTTAGGATGATGGAAACTACAATCAATTGGTACTTGACAGACCCATAGTGCATTAATGTCTAGTGGACATATCACAACCTCTAAATAAAAATCCATGAACAAAAAATATTTTCCTTATTAACAATGCTGTTTAGTTAAAATATCCTCACAAAGAATGCTCTGACCAATCAGAAAATCTAACCCAATTGGTGTTCCCATAATGCAACATTATCTAAATAAGATCTGACAAAACAGAATGAGCTGTTGAATAATTAATTTTAGAGAAAAGTTTTTCTTTTTCCACAAAATGGTTGTAATTTTCATGCCAAACTGACATTTTTCATGTCAGATGATGCCACCCGAATTAAGTCAGGTTGATTTACTTTAACTTCCTCTGCTCGAACTTGGTCAATTGGAAGATCTACTTTCGTGTCGCCATTATCACGCACCTCTTTTGCGCCCCTTGTGTCTCTGCTTTGACCTTTGGCCTTAAATACACCACCATCATCTGCAATAAAACAGGTGCAAATTTCACCAATAAGTGCATGACACAAGTATATCTAGTTCACCAGTTTCCATGGAAACAATTCTATTTGTGATGATTTCTAATTCAAATATTCTATTTATTTTTGTTTTCAGGATTAATAAGGTCATGTTTTAAGATTCTACATATAACTAATGAATTCATTGTTTTATTATCCACAATACCCTCCCCCCCCTAAAAAAAAATAAATTTTAAGATTTTAAAAATATTTCTTTCAATTGGTTTACTCTATTTTCCCTCAGATAAGAAACATATCGACTGTATCCACAACAGTACACTTTTTGATGTAATTTGTATCTTCAAAATAATTTGTATGACGGTTTTGTTGAAAATCTATGCAATAAAATATATAAGATTCTCAATTCTATGGTTCATACCTTACAAAATAGGACAAAAAAAGTTTAAGTTATCAAAATTTTTGTATGCACTTTTTTGCACAATTTCTACATAAGCCCACGCAAGTAATAGGGTACAGATTTGAAGATGCATTATATCAGGCATTTCAAGCGGCAAAACACTATTCATAAATTTGCCAGTCATTGAAATAATGACAATATATATGGTACATAACATTATACTTCTGTATTTAAATCATTCTTGTTGAGATCAATTCACCAATAAAACCTTATCATAGGATTATTGGGTTGTTTACAATTGAATTTAAAATAAATTCAATTTGAAATCAATAGAATTTATTTCTCAATGCCATCGAGACAGTTCACCATCACTTAATAACCAGGTGTCAATTTCGTGCACACTGACATGTCAAACTACAAACATTACATGAAATTGTGCAACAAGAGATTATCTCCCCTGGACCAATGAGTTTTTTTTTAAATTATCTCCAATGTACTTACCTTTTCTATGTTATGAAATAATATTATAAATTTTTATTTTTTAAATACAAACTTTGAAAGAAATTGTATAAAAAAATATACATTGAAGAAATAGTAACCCAACCACAAATATTTTAAAGAATGCTAAAAGTAAAGTACTTTGCAATAAAATATTTAGGGCTATTCCATTAAAATGTATGTGACAGGGTAGGAAGGGACTTTCAAAATATCCCTACAACCAAGAACCATTTTTTAGATAATTTTGCATAATGGTAATAGACGCATATTGAAAAAAGACCCATGACCCACATTCAATAATTAAACTTCCCTTCCTACCCTCCCACATACATTTTAATGGAATAGCCCTCAGATAAATCTACCAAAAAGTCATCTTAATTGGTTGTTGGTATAAATTTTTTTTTTTTTTTTCCTTTTGATGTTTGGATGGTTGGGATAATATCTCATGTTTATAAAGTACTATCTTCCATCATGTATTGCACAATATATGTATGAAACAAACATGTTGAAGGCCTTATGATAACCTATAGTTGTTAACTTCTATATCCTTTGGTCTCTGGTGGAGAGTTGTCTCATTGGCAATTATACCACATCTTCTTTTGATAAAGCCAACCTTTATCACCATGCTTGTTTTGTTTTTTTGTGTGTGTGTTTTTTTTTATTTGTATGGGACTAAATATATAGCCTACAGTCCACTTGTTCTTGTGTTTGTGTGTTTGTGTGTTTTATTATGAGTACAGTTATGTAGCCTACATTTATCTAATCTGCTTGTTTTGGAGTTTGTTTCCTGTGTTTTGGTATTGGAACAGTTATGTTATAAAATTGAGAATGGAAATGGGGAATGTGTCAAAGAGACAACAACCCGACCATAGAGCAGACAACAGCCGAAGGCCACCTACCTTTATCGTAATCTGCCTGTTTTGGAGTTCGTTTCGTGTGTTTTGCTGCTTTCACTGGAACACCATTCACCTGATTTCTTTTTCTACAAAAAATTAAAATCACTAAATCATCTTGATACAAAGTAGATAAAACTAAATTTCTTTTCTAAGTTACAGAATTGGGTTTTAGTTCTGTTTGAAATACGATTTATATTTTGTCTTCAATTGTTTTTGCAATATTATAGTTTCAGTATCCACCCACATCATTTTGTTCAACCAGTATTCTATTGTAACAGTCCAAAACAATGAAAAGGCTGTCTCTACTGAACAAGCATAAAAAATGGTTTGTTAAACAAATTAACACTAAAATGTGTTGCTTTTTTCTTCTCTGATAGAATCAATATCTAATAAATGTTTTTTTTTTAATTTCCTAATGTCTGACTTGGTCAAAGATATAATGGATCTCAAACATAAACAAGAGAACAATAACCCAACAAAAAAAACATTTGTTGTGGATTCATAAATAATAGTTGGGATTTTCTCTGATTTCTTGGGTAGGAGGAAACAAAAATTCAAGTACTCAACAAGTTTTAATTACTTTGATGGGAAAAAATGATGAAACCTGGAAATTCTGTACCCTTGATAGAGAAAATATATCTGCAGTCAAGAAAATTGATACCAATGAAAATAAATGAATCCTTTGTAATATTTAAAGTATCTGCTTAATTTTGTATTTACATTGTGTCATAGATCAAATTTATTCGTTTAGTGTATGTTCACTTGTTTTTGTTAATATGTCTTTTTGATTGAGTTAAGCCATTTCAATTGATATTTTATAGTGTGTCTTTCTATGTTGTGATGTTACACTATTGTTTCAGGTAGGGTGAAGGTTGGCGCCTATTAAAACGTTTAAACCTGCTGCATTTGTTTGCACCTGTCCTAAGTCAGGAACCTGATGTTCAGTGGTTGTCGTTTGTTGATGTGGTTCATGAGTGTTTCTCGTTTTTTATATAGATTAGACCGTTGGTTTTCCTGTTTGAATGATTTTACACTAGTCATTTTTGGGGCCCTTTATAGCTTGCTGTTCTGTGTGAGCCAAGGCTCTGTGTTGAAGGCCGTACTTTGACCTATAATGGTTTACCTTGACAAATTGTGACTTGGATGGAGAGTTATCTCATTGGCACTCATACCAAATCTTCTTATATCTATGAAGAGAATGTGAGCATACTGACCTAGTTTCTGGATATGAACTAACAGAATGGTCTGGTGAGTGTTTCTTTTGACTGTTTATTGGTGGCAGCGTTCTGGAATTACAAAAATAACAAGATAATTTATATCGATCAAATTATTTAGTTCTTCTAACATGCTGTGGGATAATTCAGCTGTGAACTGAAGTGATCTCTCGGAATTCTACCAATGTCTTGCTTTTCAAAATAAAAATAGCAGCTGTTGTTTCTTTGTTGTAACAGAGAGATGGATGGTAAGGACTGAGGTTGAGGTTTGTTGTAAAAGGGAGATTGATGGCAAGGACTGAGGTTGAGGTTTGTTGTAAAAGGGAGATGGATGGTAAGGACTGAGGTTGAGGTTTGTTGTAAAAGGGAGATGGATGGTAAGGACTGAGGTTTCTTTGTTGTAAAAGGGAGATGGATGGTAAGGACTGAGGTTGAGGTTTGTTGTAAAAGGGAGATGGATGGTAAGGACTGAGGTTGAGGTTTGTTTTAAAAGGGAGATGGATGGTAAGGACTGAGGTTGTGGTTTGTTGTAACAGGGAGATGGATGGTAAGGACTGAGGTTGAGGGTTTTATATCTTATGTAAGAAATCCTTATGAAGTGTTATACCTAAACCTTTATAACTTAACCTTGGTCCCTTCAAGTACAAATTCCTCTATGGCTTGAAAAAAAAACATGTTTCTTTGTCATTTTTTTTAAGCACGTATTGTTAAATTCAGACTGTTTCTCCAGTTTAAACAAGCTAAAAATGGTTTAAAAAATTATTTGCCTATCTTGCAATCCTAATATTTTTTAGCATGTTAGCTGAAATTTGGGTATTATCTTATTTTTTTTTGCTTTAATAATAAGGTTCCATTATAAGAAAAAAGTTCATTACTACTAATATACTCCTTTTTTTCAAATATCAAATTGCTATTTCAGGTTATTTCATTTAAGACAGCAAATAACTTTGGGAAGTAATCAATAAATCACATTATTATACCTTACATATATTTCAAACAATTCTATTGGGTAAAACGTTATCACGTGACATGGAATAATTCAGTTAATTTTCATTCATTTGCAAGGAAGAACGAATAACCCTAAAAATTTACACCAGCATTGAATAACCCTATTATTCACCGGCGAATAACCTTTTTAGTTTGTTGATTTGTACTCATGAAAATGACATCACAGACGTAAATAAACAAAATGGCAACGTTCAAGTTACAGGAAGCCCATTGATCGAGAGAAGAGGAAATAAGGCTTTTGACATGCAGCTTGTGCTGATGATATCTCTAAAAACGGTCCTTTTCAGGGCCATCAATATTTTACAAAAAGAATCTACCTTTGTTGTACATACGAGAATTCTAAGACACAAATTACATGTATTTTTGAACGTCAACTTGTGTTTGTTACTGACTCAAGTAAGGGTAAGTGCTTTTACAATGATTCAAAATGCCCTTCCACTGTTAGTTCGGTATAATAAAACAATTGTGGCCCCTTAGAAGCGATGAATATCCAAAATTGTCAACCCTTAAAAATTATTTCACTTCGGGCTGCGCCCTCAGTGAAATAACCTTCTCGTGTTGACAATTTTGGATATTCACCTTTTCAACGGGCCATAATTGTATTCATTAACTGGTGAAACCTTCTTAAAATTACTGTCATTCATTGCCAGACAATATTGACATTACTATCATAATGACTATGAACCTATGGATAATCATACATCCCTATAAATATAGTTTTAGAAAATCGTAACAAGGAAAATTATGATGAAACTTGACAATGAAAGTTATAATTACCAGAGGGCTAGGCTATAAAATTGGGTGCCACATATGTGATTACGATAAACAGGGCTATGCCATAAAATTGAGTGGACCGTATAAAGGTAATGTTTACATACGTTACAATGGTATCTAACTTCAGACAAACTGACACCTTATACCATATTCTTACAAACTCATACCAAGGTTTTTACAATGAGAACCACTCGTCTCAATGTAATTTACGATCATTTACCATTCATGTTTCTGAATTAATCAATTTTTAACTTAAGTGATTCTACAACAATGCATATGACCAATTTACGGGTCCCATGCATTGATATACTACATACAAAGATTTAAAGTTACATCTTTTGTTAGGAACATGATATACCATATACGAAGATTTAAAGTTACATTCTTTGTAAGGAACATTACAAAAATAATATGTTAGATACTTTGACATTTCAATTCTTTAAATAATTTATAATGATCACTCGTGACAATTGAGACCAAATATTGATACAAAGATTTTCTCTTTCTTATTGTACTTATATTATTGTCAGGTTAATAGAACTGTCTTTTGAAATAAATTGAAAAAAAAACGAAATGTATACATGTTGATTTTTGAGGTACACTGAGGAGAAAATAGTCGTTGACGATTTAATAACAAATATACTCATCATAGATACCAGGACAAAAATTTTGTAGGCAGACGTGTGTTTCCTCAACAAAAGACTCATCAGTGACATTACACCATCACCAATTCATTTTTTGTTTATGTACTATAACAATTGAATCAAAAGTCTGAAGCAATGCTTTCAGCATTGGGGTACCATCGACAATTCTTTTTTTGTTTATGTACTAAAACAATTGAATCAAAAGTCTGAAGCAATGCTTTCAGCATTGGGGTACCATTGACAATTCTTTTTTTGTTTATGTACTAAAACAATTGAATCAAAAGTCTGAAGCAATGATTTCAGCATTGAGGTATTGAAAAGCTGACAGGATAGGGTAAGATCTAAGATTGAAGTGGTGATCACTATGTTCTTTGCAACATGTATTTTCTAACCAGTATAACCTTTAACTTACAAATAGAAAAATAAGAAAATGTGGTATGATTGCCAATGAGACAACTCTCCACTATAGGCCAAATGATGTTGTAGTTAGCAACAAAAGGTCACTGTACGGCCTTCAACAATGAGAAAAACTCATACCGCACAACCAGCTATAAAAGGCCCCAAAATGACAAATGTAAAATAATTCAAACGAGAAAACTAATGGCCTGATTTATGTACAAGACAATAAACGAAAAACAAATATGATATACAGCAACAAATGACATCCACTGAATCACAGGCTACTGACTTTGGACAGGCACATACAGAATGTGGTGGGGTTGAACATGTTTGTGGGCGCCCAAACCTCCCTCTAACCTGGGACAGTGGTGGAACAAGTTCAGTTGCAAATTTTCTTGTAACTATGCATGCAAAATAAATTTTTTAAAGTGAAAGATAATATTTTACTCACAAATAATTATCCTTACAGTGCCTCAACATATATATTTATAACCCATTGTTTTTATACCATTAATTATTTTTAAATGTCTTTTGTTTTATGGTGACAATAAACCACTGGGATGGAAGAAATAAACAAATGAAATTCTTTTGAAAAAGAAAAAAAGCTAAAGATTTTATTTCTCTTTTGATAGAAAAGTTGTGTCAAATAGTGTCATCAAATAGTAAAATAAGAACAATTGTTTTCCATTTGAATTATTTCCAAAGACGAAACTGAAAACAAAATACTTCACAATTACATTAAAGAATTAAAAGTGACATTTTAATTTCAGTTTTTGTAATTCTTTGAAAAAAAGCTTAGACTTTATTTCTTTTTACCAGAAGCTGTGTAATAAAGTAAAATAAAAACAATTGTTTTCCATTTAGATTTATTCCAAAGACAAAACTAAGAAAAGTATTTAGCAATTACGTAAAAGGATTAAAAGTGACATTTTCAATTGCAGTTTTTACGATTTGTATCAACTGGTCCTTAGCACAAGTGGTACATTTGTTATTTCAAATCAATACATTTTCCTGTAAATATGTTTTTAAAGTTGAGATTTGTGAAAAAATAACATCCTTTTTAGGACTGCGACAGTCCAATTAACCATGTACAGACTGAATTCCTTGGTAATTTGCGACATTATTTATTTTGTAGTTTAATGGCTTGTAATAAAACAATGGCCTGTGATCAAAAAGTTAATTCATTTCATCAAGGTGTGGGAAAATCTTGAAAGCAGGGAAATTTTAAAAAATCTAGTAATTATATAATTAAATAACAATAAAGTTAGGTCCTTTCATATATTGAAATTGAACTTCAAGGAAAAACCCCCTATTGTACAGATGGAACTACATTTTACAATCTGACAACTTTAAAGTATTAATCATTGAAACAACATCTCAATTGTTAAAAGAACTTGTCAATTATGATTTTCATATTCCTCTTTTTAGATTTTAGATTTAGTCAGGTTCAAATGATTTAATTTAAAAAAAACATTATCTTGAAATTCAACATTTCCTCTCATTGCAGACAAAACACAAAAAGATTTTTATCTTCTTATAATTATCTTTACCAAGTATTTTACATAAACAATTGTGTCAATAGAAATTTCTATTTGTTATTTTTTCTTATAGTTACAGTTTCCAACTTCTTTGAGCTGCCAATGTAACTTAATTTCTATTTATTGCAAAGCCTATAATTTGGGTGTGACGGGAACGGCTCACTTATTAAAAAGTCTGAAAAGGGGAGATAATTATGACTTCATATTCCCAGCACCGTCCTTAGTAACAAGTCGGTTACTTAAACAAGGGAAGTAATTAAATTGAATTGACAATATTATATTTGAGTGTCATAAACCATTTTATATGGTCCTTTAAATGCAACACAAGTATTGAAATCAAAAGTTATCATATTCCTTAAACAGCACGGTTAGCGACGCTATAAAAAATCTAACGATTCATAACATCACAGCTTTTTTCAATCAATAGATGAACAAATTCTTTTAAGTCATTTACAATCAAATCTTTAATTTCATAATTAATTTCATTTCTCACTCAATCGATAATGAAAGCATGCAAGCAGAAACCATAGAAATGCAATGACGAAAGACCGAAACATTATTCCTTGGAATGTACGGGTTTTTATGCATCCTCAATTTGTTAACAAAGAGAAAATCATCATAGCAACCATCATTCCCATTATTTCCTTCATAAAAAGTTATAAGGATCAATGTCAAAGTTATAAACCATAGAAAACAAAAATGTATTTGCTTAAGAATTAAAACGGCCTTGTTAGGAGAAAACATACGAAAAGTTTATTTATCACTCTTTAATTTTGCTGTCAAACTTTACAAAAGTAGGTGTAATATTTTTCACTTTCAATGGAGTTATGTTTGTACAGTAAAATGACTATATAGTAGTCCTAAAAACTGTTTTTAGTCTTTTATGTAAATAAATTAATAATTAACATTTATCTTTTCAAGGTAATTTAAACCTGTTGTATTTTTACTACAAAAAGCACAGAAATCATAATTCTAAAAAGCAAATTCATATTTCATTTAACGACATGTCAATTGAATGAAAAGTATTTGGTATGCTAGTTAACTTGCAAAGGACCCTTTAACAAAATAAACTTTATATAAGAGTTGATCTTGTCTAGTATTTTACTGTAATTTAAATTCAATGAGATAAAACTTGCATCTAACAAGTTGAAAAGATCAAAACTCAATTTTGTGAAAGTCTATCAGATAAAAATACATATGAACTTTGGTAACTATTAGTAAAAGCTTTCTCATATTACTGCACAGTACTGATTACTGTATACAGGTATAGCTTTTAATGATACATATCAGAGTTTCCATTAAAGTTGACACCCAAACTGGCCTTGCTGTAAGATTTGAGTTTTTGAGTTCATTTTTTAGGACTTCCAGCTTCTGACAAGATGTACAACAGGAATAAAATTATTCTTTTGAATTTTTGGTTGTGTTCTTGTATTTTATTGGGGGACAGGGCCCTTGGTGACAGAGTGGTCTAAGTAGTTCTTCAACAGTGATCATTAGCCTGTCAACTCTTTAAGTTGTGAGTTCCAACCATGCTGGACTCAGATGTTAATTGACAACGGTTGGTTGTTCTCTCTGGGTACTCCAGCTGCCTCCACCAATAAAAACTTTGGCTGCCACAATATAGCCAAGGTAACTGAAAGTGGATAGAAACATCAACAAAATGTTTTTTATGAGATTTTTGTCTGTGCACATCTATCCAATATCTTTTTTTTCTTAATATATTGGTATAGATTAGTTGAGAGTTTGGTTTATCTTAGAAAATAATGTCCGTCTCATTGAGACTACCCAACTGCCTCCCTTCATGCATTAAAACTTAATTTCAAACTTTTTCTTGGTTTTAAGTTTCTAAATGAAAAGTTGAACAAGTTATAGACCTGGGTATATTATGATAATTATGCATATTATAATGCTAAAAAAAATATTAACATGTTATTTACAAGAAAAACTCAAAAGTCATGCAAAAGTAACTTTAGTCTCCTTATTTTCCATTAAATCACAAACGAGATTATTACACTAGTAGTGATACATGCTTCAATGTGCGGATTATTTAATTGTACATGTATATTCCTTTTTAGTCATGCATAAATTACCTCCCTTTAAAAGATTAGCCCAATAATTTATAACAGAACAACTATAGAGGCCAAAAATGTCAGAAACTTTACATATTGCAACATTTCGATTTATAAATGTAAACTCTACCACACATGCATATAAATTTAAAACAGATCTCTTATAAGAGTTATTTAGTCCACCAAAGGAAGGTCAATTATAGTTACAAAAAGTTTTTGAAATTAACCAAGACATGAATACCCGTATGTGAAATGATATGGAATGATAAATTAACCAATACATGAATACCGGTATGTGAAATGATATGGAATGATAAATTAACCAATACATGAATACCCGTATGTGAAATGATATGGAATGATAAATTAACCAATACATGAATACCCGTATGTGAAATGATATGGAATGATAAATTTACCAATACACGAATACCCGTATGTGAAATGATATGGAATGATAAATTTACCAATACAGGAATACCCGTATGTGAAATGATATGGAATGATAAATTAACCAATACAGGAATACCCGTATGTGAAATGATATGGAATGATAAATTAACCAATACAGGAATACCCGTATGTGAAGTGATATGGAATGATAAATTAACCAATACAGGAATACCCGTATGTGAAATGATATGGAATGATAAATTAACCAATACAGGAATACCCGTATGTGAAATGATATGGAATGATAAATTAACCAATACAGGAATACCCGTATGTGAAATGATATGGAATGATAAATTAACCAATACAGGAATACCCGTATGTGAAATGATATGGAATGATAAATTAACCAATACAGGAATACCCGTATGTGAAATGATATGGAATGATAAATTAACCAATACAGGAATACCCGTATGTGAAATGATATGGAATGATAAATTAACCAATACAGGAATACCCGTATGTGAAATGATATGGAATGATAAATTAACCAATACATGAATACCGGTATGTGAAATGATATGGAATGATAAATTAACCAATACATGAATACCCGTATGTGAAATGATATGGAATGATACATGTACCAATTATGTGTAATGTGAATTAGAACCAAATAATGAATTTTCCAAACCCTGGATTAACAAACATTAAGAAAATCATAAAAACCTTTTTTCTGCATGCCTAATTATGCAAAAGCCACGCACAAAGAGAGACCAAAATTTGGTTTATACCAAAAATAGTCCCTGAATTTATAAAGACATTATTCTTAGTTTTTGGGGAGGTAAGCAATATCCTTATGTGAGAAAATAGATACCATAATGATGAATGTGTGTCATTCAAGCATGATAGCCATGTGCAAAATTCTAGTAAAAATAAGTCAATGCTAGTCAAAATTCATGTTACAGACATGCCAAAATCTAGTAAAAGTTAGTCAATGCTAGTCAAAATTCCCATTACAGAATTTTTTTTCCCATTTGATGCTTGAAGTTTGTCAAAACCTACTATATGTTTGATGGGGTTGTGAAGAACCCATTGCCTAAAACCATAAGTCCAGCAACGCCTGATGTCCACTAATATTTTTTTTTTGAAACTTTGCCAAATAATTTAATTAAACTATAGCCTACCCATAAAGATAAAGTTGAAAAAGTGCATAAACCAATCCATTATAAAATGTAAAAAATATAAAACATGACTAGTTTATTAACTTTAGCTTTAGCTTTAATGATTGTGAAGTTTTGCTTAAGTGAATTGTGAACTATAGCTTTAATGAATTGTGAACTTTAGCTTTGATGATTTGTGAACTTTAGCTTTAATAAATTTTGAACTTAAAAGCTTCAAATAATTATAGAACAGAAAAGAAGATGGGTTTTGAATTTGCAAGGTTCTAGGAAGGGATGTGACGTATCATACCTGCCTGCTGCTCTACACGACAAAATAATGCCAGTTTGAATCTTATGCTAGTTGCCATGGTTATAAACCAACACAAACAACAAAATGTGCACCATTAAAAATTTGAAATTATCTGCAACAGCCACAACAGTTATAAAATATGCACTTTTGTTGAAATCCTTTCATATGAAATTATAACATACAAAGTTTACAGAAAGTGTTTTGTTTTAGCAGACATTTTTTATCATAATGGAAATGTTACCATGGCAACTGTTGCAAATAAGAAAGACATGCATGAATTACCTAGGTCTTCTGTAGTCCCCTGGTCCGCCAAAAGTAGATCTGTATCACAGAAGAAATAGACGATAGAATGTGAATGAAAACTACTGATGTATGTACAGTATACCATTTTATTGTCTTAAAAATGACTCAGAATTTTCAGAGAATTATATTCTTTAGACAAAACTAAGAATTGCCTACTTTTTCATTGAAGATCATTAATCTATCGATCTGTGGCTTTGAAAAAAAATATTACAATTTAATTTTAATATTGTAATCACTTTATATTATAAAAAGTAAGATTTTTTTTAAAACAACCACAGCTTTTAATATTCATATCAATGGATTTACTTCTGTTTAATGTGTATATCCAGAAGACAATTCTGTAGCTGCCAATAAATAAACTCCCGTTTTCATCCTAAGGGGAGATAATTATTAAGGTAAATGTAAGAACAGCCAACAATATGGTATACAAAAATTAGGCAATAGCTTTATTACAAAAAAATCTTAGACAAATAGACTATTCTGTTCTGTTCTGGAATTTATATTACAAGAAATTCGATAAAATATTTCAAAATAAGAATTGACACATTATACACATGAAGGAAATATTTGTGACATTTCAATTATCCCAACATTTGCAATACACAAGAATAAAATGATCAGAAAAAAATCCTGTGATTGCTATTTCAATAGGAAATTAAAAAAAAATTAATTATAAAATTGCTAAATATTTCATTAGGAAATTTAAAAAATCAATCAGATCTTTGTTAAATATCAAAAATAAAGCATTAAAATTTCAAGGTTTATCTTAGTTAATCAATCTACAATTTTCTATTTGCAGAATGTATTTTTTTCTGACTTTCATGGTATATGATATATCAAAGACTAATTAATTAATAAATTGCAGAACAGAATCTTTATCAATTGTAATTGCACTATGTTATCAAGTTACAAATGTTATATATTTGTTACTGCATGTATAAAATTTCAAAACATTTGACCATTTTTATATCATTTGAAGAAAATGATTATTTGTAACAAGATAGCAACACAGTACTAACGATGCATCTAAAGTCAATAATACCAGCTTCTTATTTTAGATAAAAACATCTTTTAAAAGTACAAATCCCCATCATTTAAAAGTACACTGAATGCATGTCCTTGATAATGAGTTTGCAAAATTCTGTTGCAATCTTTTGTGAAGTATGTCATATAAAATGTCTGAAGATCTAGCCTGCAGTAATGCAATTACAACAGAATGAAAAAAAAAACCTGGTAACCATGAATTCAGATGCATGTATAGTTAAAATAAAAGTTCTAGTAATTTTAGCTATTAAAAGTCAATTTTACTAACAGAATTAGCTTTCCTAATTTTAAAACTACAAAACAAGTGTAACTATTGCCAACAAAACATTTGAATCTCATTAGAACAAACACAGACACATACAAATTTGGACAGTTTGGCATTTTAACTCAATAACACAAACCTTGGATAAATCAAAATACAGTCTGTATCCATAAGTGGTGGAAAATAGGGGCTTTTTTATAATTTAAAAAAAAAGGCTGGCTCAAAGAAGTTTGCCTGTATTAATTTTAATAATGATTTATCAAAGTAAAATGTTAGTTCTTAAACAGTAGTCGAATTTATCAAAGTAAAATGTTTAGTTCTTAAACAGTAGTCGATTGCAGCCAAATACCACCATTAAGTTAAAATTTAAGATGACATTGGTTTGTCTGTCTGTGTTTGACAAAAATAAGACAATGCTTTATATTTTAAAAGTATGCTACTAATGAAAAACATAAGAATACAAACATATATACACAGTAAAATTATTACAGTGCAACACAAATTTCGAACTACAATTTGGTATTTCAAAATGATACATGTATAATAATGTCATTTGAGGAAAATTGCAAGAAAAGAGTAATTTTGAATCAGGCGTGTTTGGCAATATTGCAAGAAAAGAAAATTGGCCCAGTTTGGCAATCAGCAGACTAGTTGAACTGTATGAAGGTTTGACTGTATACATGTACAAATGTATATGAATATGACAGCTTATTTTCTTTCATTTTTGTTTTTTTTGGCGGAAGCCGGATTTTCGTTTGCTGTGATTTAGGTTGATCAGGTTCTGTATTTTCAGAAATTTTACCAATGCTATACATGTATTATTGAAGAGAATGCAAACAGACATCATGCAATAAATTAAAACTCATATTTCAAGTTTATAAACCATTTTCTGGTATACAGCATTTTACCATTTCTTCATCTGACATTACAATTAGATTGATAAATGAATATTATATTTCTGAATTTTCAGCAATTGAGAAGAAGATGATTTCTAATCTCTTACTAACATGCAATGATGAAATTTAAGGTTAATTCACAACTTTTAACTAAATTAGTAATACAGAGCTAATGTTTAAAACCATGCAAATGACTGTACAGTTTAAAACTGACTATATAGTTTTAAAAATGTAAGCAAACAGGAAAATTTATAATTTTTTGTCGTGCTATATGCTATATAAAAATAAGATGTGGTATGATTGCCAATGAGACAACTCTCCACAAGAGACCAAGTGACACAGAAATTAACAACTATAGGTCACTACGTATGATTCAAACTCTATGACTATTTTAATGGTATATTACATAGCAGAATTAGTTAGCTATGCTTATTATAACAACAACAACTCTGAAAATGCCATTCCAAATAAAAAAGATAATTTGGCTTAAAAAAGCAGATTGGAGCTGCACTATGACAGTATCACTGAAATCAAGTAAGTTGTTTAGCTGTTTAAGATAAGTTCGGACTGACACACAGTCATAACAATATTCCCCTGCTTCAGTTTTCCAGGCTACAACAGAAAATAACTAATTCTAATTTTCAAAAAAAAGAGAGAGAGAAGATTAAATGTATCTTACCTTTCTTTCCATAAGTATTTTGTTTGTCTGAAAAAAAAGATATGATTTAATCTTTAATATCATATAATAATTGTATACTTTTACTTTTTAGTCAACACTGTATTTCCTTAAACTGTTAATTTTCATCACAATATATAGGCCAATTCTATTTATCCTGCAATCAGCCAACTATTGTACAAATAACAGGTACACAAATAAATATTTGCTTTATTTGTACTTGTACAAATAAAGTCGCCTGTTACCCCTCTTCCATGTTGAGCAAGCGGTAATGTGGATATTTCTTTTTGCGTACCAGTTCATCTTGGGGTCCTCTTCGCGGTCCGCATTTAAACTATGTCGTTCTCTTTGAAAAATTAGAGACAATGATTAGATTTTAACAACTAAACTAAACTAAACTAAATTTCAGGATAAAAACAATATATGTACTTTGTCGGAAAATATAAAATTTATTTGTACTCGCTGCGAAACAGGAGAAAAGCTCGGCGAGCCTCGCTTTTCGTCCTGTTTCTAAAGCTCATACAAATAAATTGTATACTTTCCGACAATGTACATATATTGTATATTTATATTGCTAGACAAAATATACAAAAATTGAAAGTTTGACTCAGGTAACTTCAACTTTAAAGGAATAAAATTAATTTTTACACCATCAAATCACAAATAGATAGAGGCTTATCTTCACAGTGCTGTTATTCCTATTTTTAATGCAATACTTGTAAAATTTTAAACAAATCGAATACATGATTTGTACCAGGAACCGTTTGAAAGGTTGAAATGTTGATGAAGTCAAACTGCCCGATTGTAAATGTAGATTCAAGCTATATTACCAATAAGGTTGGTTTCAAAACATTTAATCTCAGCAGCTCCCCCCTAATCCCCCCCCCCTCACACACACACACACGAAAAAAATATTCTGTAAATTATTTACCAGTTGCAAGAAAATTGATAACTATAATAATGGTTCTTTAAAAACTTGACTTACTGTTTGTCTCTAGGTGATAATGGAACAATAATATTTTTACGCCCATGAGGTTCGTATCTACCCGGCTTGAATGTGTGATAAGAATTTTTGGCTACATAGAGTCCTCCAGTTTCTAATTGGTTTACATCTGTTACAACATGGCCCTCTAAATCACAAATCCTAAAAAGAAATAAGATAAAAATGAACCATGTCCTGATCTTATTTTCTCATTCCATGTATGGTAAACCACGAAATCTTGATCAGAACCCGAATGAGGCATATGTTTTAAAAAAGTTCGCATCATAATGAAACATGTGCAGGGTTTTCAATTAGGATTTTTGTAAGAAATGTTATTGCTATATTGTTCATTATTGAAGTCTCCATTAAAAAATAGAACAAGGAAATGACATCAAATTAAGATATAATTTTTAAACTTTTGCTATAAAATGATATCTTGGCTGAGTTGACACAGCATTTTACAACTTGTTGCATCTTTAGCCTCCTCAGTTTTGATAACGATGAATCCAAGACTCATGAATTTGCCTTAGTGAGACCACTGATGTGAAGTTGATGTGACCAAAATTAAATGATTAATTTCCTTACAACAAAACTTTAACCTGATATGGGACAGTAGGACTGATCTCCCCACTTCTTGCTTGGTTGTCATTTGGTTGCCCTCTCATTGACATATACCTTGCATCTCTAAGAACTCAAGTGTTTCAGAATGGTAAGCTAAGTAGTTCGTGTTCCACAAGAGGCACCCATAGTGCTCCTCAACATTTGGTTACAATACGAGAAAAAGTGAAAGTTAAGCCAAAAATATAAAGGTATTTGGAACCAGTAGGTAAACAAAACATAACATTTATGAATATTCAGTATCTCCCCCAAAGAGGCGTGGCTAGTGAATCAGCTTTATTCATAAAGTGCAACCTGAAAAATCAATGATACAAATTGCTTGCTATAAAATCTGATGTGCATTATATGATATATAATAGTGAATATTTTATGCAACTTTGTGGATGTAGCAAAGAAAGTATGATCCCTACATGGGCTGATTACATACATGTATATTTTACCCTTAAATTCTTTTCAGAGCTAACATCTAGCACTCTCTGATATAACAACTCCCATCTAAGTCAGCACTGAAATGACCCTTTGACATTAATTCTTTGAGTCCCCTGTTTCCTCCTTAAACAAACTAATATTTCAGACACAAGATTCTATAAATCAGAAACTATAAAAGTAAGAAACAAACAATGTAAGAAATACATCGAATAAAAAATAACTCAATAACTTAATTTGGGTAATTCCATAACCTAAAGACCTTAATTTGGGTAATTCCATAACAGAAACTAACATTTAAAAATTACAAAAAATGTTCACAAATCAAAAATAATTGTAGATTTGTGCTTACTTTTGTTTTGCCTAAGATAAACAGATAGAAATGGGAAGAAAAAAACAAGATCTACATCATTTTAATTTCAAAAAACCAAAATGAATGAATTTCTATTCGACATTCTAACATGCCTGTCAAATTTTCACTTAGCTGATAATAATATCGAGGAGAAATTTGACCCAAAATACCTTTAATTTTGAAAGATCTCAGGAGGAAAGCTCTAAAACTGTAAAGAGTCACACCTCATAATTTAACCAGACAGAAATACAGTAACTGACCACAGTACAAGTTTTTACAACATGTTTTCTGTTCAACAATATCAAATTATCCTGTGAACCTTCCAGATATTGATCAAAGCATGTGTACAAAAGAAAAAGCTCAGCAGAAAATTGAAAGTCACATCTAGATATATAAACTGTTTTCTCACAAAAAATTTGATACTTTTTTTTTAGAAAAAAAAGCATAAATACAAATTTTGAAAACAGAATCAATTTTGGTACTGAAAACAGTTTATAAAGCCCACAAACCTATGGTAATATTACAACACGGAAAGCTCCAACTTTTCTGTACTTACTGGTCTACCCGATACTGATGTTTCTCTCTAATGGCTTCATGAACAACCTTTATTGCCTCAGTCATATTTTCCAACTGTCTATAAGACAAACCAACAGTTGTTGGCTTATCAATATCCTGCCCATTTACAAAAACTCTGAAATTAACAAGTTTATGAATGATAATGTCTGCCCCATTGATACTCACTCGTCACACCGGTAGTTTAAACTATCTGCAACTTTTTCTGCTATGGCTTTAGCTGTCTCGTGAAACGAATGCTGCTGGTGTGGCAAAAGGCAAACCTTAATTGCACTTTCTGTAAAGCGCCCATTTACTACGATACTGAAAGAAAAGAAATTAATCACATTTGTTAGTGGGTGAACTCAAGGACAATTAGAGAGAATGTTTCACAAAGGTTTTAAAAATTCAGACCCAACCAAAGGAATATTATCCTGTTTGTGGGACTAGACACAGGCCAAAATCCAGATATTTTATAGAAAGGAGAGTTCTGGTGGGTTTCACATGGTAAAAGAAATTTTTGTAGATTTATATGACATTGTGATGTTTAAAACATTTCATAATAAAGTAATAGGTAAAACTTTATGGACAGGACCCCTCCCTTTCAACCTGAGTAACATATTCTTTACATTTCTTTTTTAAATTATATTAAGTTAAAACAATTATGTCTATTATCAAACAGTTAATGAAGATCTAATATCAACTGTCAAAATTACACTAAAAAATTAAAGAAACTTAAGTTAAAAGTGTATTGTCTTTTAGTTTCCCCCCTTTTTTTTAGGGAATTTTGTTGTTGTTGGGAAAAATGAAAATAAATCAAAGCGATAGAAGCTATCTGTATTCCATAACAAAATTTTATAACTTTTGTTTGTATAATATCTTCATCTTTATCTCCATAAATATATCGTTATTTGTAAAGCCAATTGCTAGATAAACTGACTATTTTTTTAGTTTCAAAAATTTTTTTACCAAAATTTCTAAATAGTTTCACTCTATATTTCTGTAATAAAACATGCAAATAACATGCAATAATGTTTAATAACATGCAATGAATGGCATATGTAACTATCCAAAGTAATGTTTTCATGCAACATGCAAAATGCCAAATAAAATAGATCTGAATGTTCTAGGTTTGAATGTTATGCAGAACTATGCATCATACCATATATTCTTATTTTTATATGATTAGTTAATTAAAATATTAATCTATAAGCTTTTAATTTCTACAGATCTTAAATTTCTACAGAAAGTCATTTCCGAGAGAACAAACTTTGCTCTAAAATCATAAATTGACATAGTTATTCCCCTTTATGGAAAGTAGTACTGGTTACCTGCAATGAGCAATGGTAAAAAGCAGATATCCCTGTTTATTTTCATTTAATAGGCGAATTATACAAATTTCTTAACTAATTAACTTCTCTTTAATACAGTATACTTTTAAATGAATTTGATTATAAACTTGAAAATATTTGTATATTCTTTTCATTTATATAATTCTTGGCATTGCTCTTTATTGCAGGGAACCAGCATTACTTGCCATGAAGGGGAATAACACCTATCAAGCTATACATCAAAAGTCAAATTCCAGATTTCTGAAACCACTTTCTGTAAATTAATTCCTACTATTACAATTTATTCTATTTCCTATAGCAATGATAAACACATGATATTTAGCTGAATTAATGAATGAGTCCTTGCACACCCAAGCTTTTGTAAAGTTTGTTATATATGTTATTTTTTCTGACCAAAAAATGTTAATAGTGAAAATTTTTATTTTTCTTGTTATCTCATGATCATTTTAATCAATTGAGTTTTTACCCAAAATTTATTTATTATTAAATCTTTTACACTCCCATCTTAGTTCCTTTTATCTCATATCTTTTTTGGTGATTCTTAGGAAGTAAAAAAAAGACAATAAGATTCCTAATTGAACATCCCTTATACATCTTCTATTTTGTCTAAAATAAATAAGTGCCATTACATGTTAAAATCATATGATTTGCAAACTAATTGCTTTAAAAATGTGAACTGATGAAAAAAGTTTTTTTTTTAATTTGGGGCTGTTTTCAACAGATAATGTATAAATAAATTGAAAATCTGAAAACACATTGCTTGTTTCTTTATCAAACTTATGGATAGAAAGTAATGTCTATGAATTTTTCATAAGGAATGTATGGGAAAAACCGAATGTTTGAAAAATATACTAAATAAAACATTAATCTTCTATTCTGAGCATTTTACTGTTCTGGGCCATTTCCCCATTTGAAAGGTGGCTTCTTGTTATAAACCTGATAAAAAGGGGGTTTCAATCTTATTATAAAAATTTCAGTTATAAAGAAATTTCCTTGTATTTGCATGACAGACAGCAAAGGTTTTGAGAACCCTCGGGCCTCCCCCATGAAAACAGGAAACACCATTAAAAGTGAGATTCAGATTGGAGTTTGACAATTAATCAGAACATTACCCCCCTCCCTCAGAGAAAAATTCCTTGCTACAGGCCTGATGCCACTGCATCAATTTTTGCCACTGGGCATTTTGTCACACCAACAATCCATTTAAGTCTGTCCCCTTTCCTCCATCTATATAAAGTTAGATAATATAACTTCTTGGACAGTCCAGTAGGATTTCAGGAACAGGAGTTTGTGGTTTTTGTGGATACTTGCCTCAGAAATGAAAACTTTAAGGATCTTAACTGACTAACAGCAACAATATTTGACACTAAAAAGTCAAACTTATGAACAAACTCATTACATGTAAAGATAGTTTTAAATGAAGAAGATATTAGTAAACATATATTCCTGGCCTTGAAACAATATGGTAGTAAAATTATTATTTAAATTCTAATTAAATTTTTTGCTTTTTATATTAAAATCCTTTGGCTTTTTAATAATGAAAGATCTAAAATGATTTAAATAAATAACTTATTAATAATACTATAACCATATGTTTTGCTGGGCATTGAACATCTATTATTAAATATTTCAAAGAACATTTCACACTGAATATTTGTTCTACATAACCCAAACGTGACTCTTTCTTTAAATCTGTGCCAATTTTATATAAAAATATTTAATAGAGGTCAATCTTTAATTATATTTCCAACTCTAGTAAATAGTTAAATGATTGAGCTTCTTTTAATGATTTGCACTTTATTATAAATCCTTAAATTAGGTAATGCTTCGAAATTCTCTACCATTATAAATATGGCTTTAGATCTATTTAAGTGTATGGGTAGGTCAAAAGGGGAAATGGCTTTGGAATACCACTTTTAATTTCCAAACGTTGCATACAATTCTAAATGAATAAGTCCTTTACTCATTCTTTGGCAGACTTTGGAAAACAATCTCAACCCATGAACTTTATCTTAACTCATATTTTGGAAGATTTTTTATAACAACCACCACCCATTCAGTTTATCTTGACTTGTACTTTGGCAGTTCTTCCATAACCACCACCATTCATGAAATTGTTCTTTGCCCATTCTTTGACAGATTTTGACCACCCATTTACTTTTCACAACCAATCATACAAAATTTTTTCATAAACTCATGCATCATAAATCAGGGGTGAAACTAACAACATTCTAATGACTTAAAGACCTAGACTAAGTGAGTGAGGTCAAAGGGGAATCTACATAGTGTAAAGGTCAAACAGACATTTACATAGGGTAAGTAATATATTTGGTAGTTCATGTTTAAAAAAAATCAATGGAAGAATGAGGACTCAAAAAGATGAATAAAAATCCCATTTTCTTAATTTTTGATTACTTTGATAAACACAAATGATTCCGGACTTTATATTAAAAGCTTAAAACATGCATGTACTTTATTCATGTTCATGTTCATGGTATTCAATTAGCAGACTTTTTTCCCAAATTTATTTTATGATTTAACCAATATGTGTGAAATATTCTTTTTGAACAAATGTTATAATGGTCCAATGCAGCCTCTGAAAATCTGTAATGATTCTAGCTAGCTTCTAAAATGAAAACAAATCTAAATAAATGATAAGTTAGATAAAATAAAGCATATATGTATGATAGACTAGGCACATAACCTTATAAATATATATATAAAGCTGAAAAATGATGTTAAGCATTACAAAAACAACTAAAAATAGCTTTAAAACATAAAATTTGCTACAAATTAATTATATTTTAGAACATAAAATTTGCTTGAATATGAATTATATAAATTTAAAAGCTCAATCAATATGCATCACAGTTTATTAAACTTCCTAGAAACACAAATCTGCTATGAAATGGAGACACTTAAAATGAAATGAAAGGAAAATTTTATAACAACTAACGAGCCAGATTGCATGGAATTGCAATAGCAAATATATGGGGAATATGTCCATGGGACACATATAATGCCCCCCGCTTGCATATAATGTTATAAAGGGACATAACTGAAGAACGGTAAAAGAGACGCTACCCAAACTTGTACATGTACTTGATCTGAGTTTTTGGTAATAAGCATTGTGTATAAGTTTCATAACATTTGGTTGAGGCAAATTTAAGTAAGAGAACCGAAACGAAAAATTCAGCATTTTTTTCATTTGTAAAGGAGCATAACTCTAGAACGGTAGAAGTGATGCCATCAAAATTTAAACTTGATCTGCATTTTGTGGTAATAAGCATTGTGTATAAGTTTCATAACATTTGGTTGAGGCAAACTAAAGTTAGAGAACGGAAACCAATTCTTGGACGTACATACGTACGTACAGACGAACAAGGGTAAAACTTAATGCCCCCTCCGCTACGACGGGGGCATACAAAAATATGCAGTGAAAAATTTGAGATGACAAAATTGCCTATTTTGTAAGGTTACCAAGGTAACAGAATAATGATATATCATCATATATTATTAACATGATTAAGATTGGTTGCATTTTGCATTATTCAGTCTTATACTAATGATATAACTTAACCACATGTATTGAATCATGGATTTAAGGCATTTCTAAAACCCAAAAAATGAACTCTTTTCAGTCCTTATGTCATGATTAACAATTGAACTGTTTATGTCTTTACATAAGATTATACACAAATAATTTATATTATTGGTTCACACTAACTATAAGGAGACTAATTCTAAAAGAGAAAAGTCGTTAGTGAGATAAATCTCTAGGGTGACTAAAATATGAAAAACATTACTTTCATAAACACTGATAAATCATTTTGTAGAGGGACAATTTCATTGAACTTTTGAGAGAGCAAACATTCCCATGGCAAAATACTAATAAAGAACAGCGAACTTTAAATATATAGATGACAGGTCTTCAGAAGATGGAATTCAAAATTTAATGAAAAACAAATGTGAAAACTTGAAATTTCCAAATACGTGTATATCTATCAATGAATAGTTCGAAAACACTTCAAAATTCTTTTAAAAAACATAGATAAGATCACTAGAAATTTAAGTTTAATATGTTTTATGTCAACTACCCTCTTAGCTTGTAAAAGTGTATTAAAATATAAAATGTTTTAGGAATTGAAAAAATTTTGAACTTTTTGTTCTGTTTTTGAAAAGGATATTTTAGTTAGTAACTGAAATTTTTCTAATTATTGAAAACTTTAAAATCGACTACCATGGTTTATTTTCAAAAATAGAAATTTAATCATCTAAGAGACTAAGATAAACCAAATTGTTACAATACTAACATATCTTTGAGTCATATAAGTGTTCAGTTTAGACAAATATCATTGCATTAACACATTTAATGACTTCAAAGTGGCACTAAATACAAATATTTTGATCTATCTTAAAGTTTAATAAACTTTTGCCTTATCATATTTTAAAATTCTAAACATCCACTTTTGATCCTTAATCTCTCCGTCATATAATTTTAAGAACCTGTCATAATTGTTTTGGACCTTGAGTCGCTCTGATTTTTGAAATGCCAAACTGATTCATTAAATAATATATTTTAATGATATAAAAATGTCATATTCTTTTGAACAAATATGATTGTATTGTTTACAAACTCAGTTGTCAAGACGACAACGTAAATTACATGTTGTAATGCAATCATTATACCATCAGAAACAAGAGGCATAATCTAAAAATCCATATAAGTATGTATGCTTAAAGATTTCTTGAGAATCTTATGTGGGACTTAAGGAATTTGTTTTTGATAAAATTTGAACCCTACTGTGTAAATCATTAGAAAAGAATATTTGGTTAGGACAATAAACTTAGTCCTGAACAGGAAAGGTTTGTAACCTGCAAATAACCGAAATTAAAGATCAGGAATAGAATTTTGTTTTAAATTCAGAAATACTTCTTCTAAGTTTCTTAAAGTTACTTAATAACTCATTGAAAAAAAAAAAAAAAAAAAAATTCTTTATTGAATTTTATAGGCAAAGTATTAAACAAATAATTTAAATACTAATGAACCAATAGGTTGACACCTCCCCCCCCCCCCCCCCCACCCCCAAAAAAAAAAAAAAACAACAAAAAAATAAAAACAAAAAAGACCGATCTTGCCAGTGTTGGCTTAAGATTATTCAATTGTTGTGTTTAGATGTATTAAAAACAAAAAATGACATGACACAATTTCTAACTGTATAATTATTAATGGACTACATGTACTAATTATTCAATGAAGTACAAACATTACTCTGAAGAAGTTCTGTAGCTGACATTAAACATTCATGGATTAATTAATTAAGAAAATGTTTAATTAAAGAACATGCAAGTACTTTTAAAATAATAATAACATTGTAACCAAAAACAATAACTCCTAGCCAACTATGCATGCTTTGAAATAGAACTGAAAACTAACCATCTACCGTTCATCATACAGTCAATGATTTATCCCAATTTAAATATACATACTCAATTGCTTTACCCTGAGTTGGAATTTGGGATATTTTGCCGGTAACATTCTCTAAATGTTTATTGTGGTGTGCTGGTATAAGCTGAAAAAGAAAAAAAAATTAAGCAATACAAAGAAAAATATTGTGTGCTTTCTCATTTCAGGTCTTTCATATATTGCTATGCAGTATGGGTTTTTCTCATTGTTGAAAGATGTATGGTGACCTATAGTTGCTAACTTCTACATCATCTGATCTCTGGTGAAGAGTTTTCTCAATGGCAATCATACCACATCTTCTAATTTTATATTTTACATGATCTTATGTCAAAAGGAATAATATAAATTATGTAAGTTTGTCCCAACACCTGATATATACAGGTGACTTTTTAATTCACAGTAAATTGTTTCATTTTCGGTCAGTACCAGTTGCAAAACTCACAAAAGTGTATCGAGAAAAAATTCTACCATAAGATCAGAACAATTTAGCCTAACTTATAATAAAAGCAGCTAGGGGGCACCACAAACTCATCTTGACTTTTTCCTTTGAGGAGGAGGTGCAAATCTTTAACGATAAGATGTTTTTGGCAAAGAGTTACATTCTTGACAACAGTTTCTGTTTCTCTAGAGACAGTAAGTTTGGTTCATGAATATTTTACTAATTATATAAAAATAATACAAAATATTGAATACAAATTGGGTCTACTTCTGCCTGGTTAAATCTGTGCCTATGAGCTTGTAATATATATGTTCCTGTTAACATGCTGCTTTTTGTAATTGCTTTTCTGATGTCTGAGACAGATAAAGAAACTGTAAAAACTACAAGCGCTTTCAAATGGGAAAGTTGAATGCATATTGTTATTTCAAAAACATTATTATAATTGCCCCCTTTTCACAACAAGTAATCATACTTGTAAATGTTTTATAACATCAGATTGTTGTAAAATTTTCATCAAAGAAACCTTACATTTCTAAAAAAACAGTTAAACATGTACGGTTTTACAATTTAATACAAAGTTAAAATGGACTTTAATGAGGTGTATTACATTAACGACAAATTTGTAATAGTTAATCTGATTATATTATTCTTTGAACGTGTGCCAATGTAGGAGGTATTCTGTGACAACATAGATGGATTAATATAAACATGTTATACAGTTTTGACAAACCAGTTATTGCTAGTATGGAATAAATAGTTTAAATTTTCTACATTGTGTAATCTTTTCTTCCAAACAAATTTAATAAAAATCTTACATACATGTACTAGTATATCGGTTTAGCCCAAAACATGAGCACATCTATGCATAAAAGAACTGCGTTTTGTGTTAATAAGCATTGTGTATAAGTTTCATAACATTTGGTTGAGGTAAAACTTAAGTTAGAGAACGGAAACTAAAAATTTAGCAATTTTTCCATTTATAAAGGGGCATAACTCTAGAACGGTTAAAGTGACGCCACCAAAATTCAAACTTGATCTGTGTTTTGTGGTAATAAGCATTGTGTATAAGTTTCATAACATTTGGTTGAGGCAAACTCAAGATAAAAAACGGAAACCAATTTTGGGATGTACCGACGGACGGACAAGGGTAAAACTTAATGCCCCTCCGCTATGGGGGGGGGGGGGGGGGCATAAAAAGTCTGTGGATACCAGTTTATCCATTTGTAGCATGTTATTTAGTTTTCCAAAAACCTTTTAAAATACATGATAGTACGAGTCCTTTGTCATTTGGTGAAGATTGACCTCTACATTTCTTTTTTGTTTTATTTTGTTACTGGGTTGCTGTCTAACTGACTATATATATATAGATCCTATACTTGTATTTCTATTTTTATAAATGTTCTTATCATTTTATACTCAAAGCTGTACATGTTCTTGGTGTATATTTTTCATGTTAGCCAGGAATCATGGCTCACATGAAAAATAAAGAAATACCCAGTATATTTTTTTATTATTTAAAAAAATTATTTTCAAGCTAGTTAGTTGGTTGCAGTAACCTACTTTTTTGTACTATCTACTAGATATACTGAATGCTATACTGTGAAGCATAAAATAATCACCTTCTTCATTTATTCTTGCACAAAAGACGTTTACATCAGATTTTTCAGATTTTTCAATATTGTATATTCAAGGTTGTATATACACATGTTATCCAGTACGTTTTTATCGTTTTTTATCGTTATAAGGAAATAGATTTTCACACAATGCAAATTGACCTATTCAATATACCTGTATGATTATACATAGATGTCAACATTGCAGTCAAAGATTTAAGTGTATTAAGAAGATTGATCATCAAGTCGGAATTATAAAATGATCAATTCCTATATAAATGTCATAACAAATTCTAATCTGAACATACACGCTGTTCTGATAATGGAAACATATACAGGATCAATGTAAAAAAGTTCTCTTCAAGGATTAAAATTCCAATTCAAAAAAAATATATAGATTTCCACTCACACTGAATATGTCTTGTCTGTCTTATAGCCAAGTATTGCATGAATAGTATGATATCTGGGTTTCAGTTAAAATACCTAACAAACTATTCAGTAACTCGACTTCCAAGAAACAACTTAAGTTGACATTAGAATTTTATGAGTTACATAATTGTAGTCAGAGAAAAACAAAGAATACTATGACCACAAAGATAAAAGAAAAACAAGGAAAAAGAATTAAGTGTATTAAGAAGATTGATCGACAAGTCTGAGTAATAAAATGATCAATTTCTATGTCATAACAATTCTAATCTGAACATACACACTCTTTTGATAGTAGAGACATATACAGGATCAATGTAAAAAAGTTTTCTTCAAGGGTTTAAATTCCAATTAAAAAAAAATATATAGATTTCCACTCACACTGAATATGTTTTGTCTGTCTTATAGCCAAGTATTGCATGAATAGTATGATATCTGGGTTACAGTTAAAATACCTAACAAACTATTCAGTAGCTCGACTTCCAAGAAACAACTTAAGTTGAAATCAGAACTTTACAAGTTTTAACTTTTTAAGTTATGAGTTACATAATTGTAGTCAGAGAAAAACAAAGATACCATGACCATAAAGATAAAAGAAAAACAAGGAAAAAGTCATTCAATTGTTGTTACAAAGATAACTCAAGGCTGAGCAAAGCAGCGAAGCATTACCAAAGTTATGGCAACATATGAAAGAAAGAGATATGGGATATAATTCACCTATGAGACTGAACAAAAACATTTAGAGGTTAACACAAAATTCATATAACAGACAATTAAGTTTCTATACAATATGCCCAGCTCTAAACAACCAGAACCTGACCTCAGTGTAGTACAGTTAAATTTCTTAGATCACAACCCTAAACGACTAGAACCTGACCTCAGTGTTGTACAGTTAAATTTCTTAGATCACAACCCTAAACAACTAGAACCTGACCTCAGTGTTGTACAATTTCTTAGATCACAACCCTAAACGACTAGAACCTGACCTCAGTGTTGTAGAGTTTCTTAGATCACAACCCTAAACAACTAGCTAGAACCTGACCTCAAGTGTTGTACAATTTCTTAGATCACAACCCTAAACAACTAGCTAGAACCTGACCTCAAGTGTTGTACAATTTCTTAGATCACAACCCTAAACGACTAGAACCTGACCTCAGTGTTGTACAGTTTCTTAGATCACATTCCTAAACGACTAGAACCTGACCTCTGTACAGTTAGGTTTCTTAGATCACAATCCTAAACAACTAGAACCTGACCTCAGTGTTGTACAGTTTCTTAGATCACAACCCTAAACGACTAGAACCTGACTTCAGTGTTGTACAGTTTCTTAGATCACAACCCTAAACGACTAGAACCTGACCTCAGTGTTGTACAGTTTCTTAGATCACAACCTTGAACGACTAGAACCTGACCTGAGTGCTGTACAGTTAAATTTCTTAGATCACAACCCTAAACGACTAGAACCTGACCTCAGTGTTGTACAGTTAAATTTCTTAGATCACAACCCTAAACAACTAGAACCTGACCTCAGTGTTGTACAGTTTCTTAGATCACAACCTTGAACGACTAGAACCTGACCTGAGTGCTGTACAGTTAAGTTTCTTAGATCACAACCCTAAACGACTAGAACCTGACCTCAGTGTTGTACAGTTAAATTTCTTAGATCACAACCCTAAACAACTAGAACCTGACCTCAGTGTTGTACAGTTAAATTTCTAAAATCACAACCCTAAACGACTAGAACCTGACCTCAGTGTTGTACAGTTTCTTAGATCACAACCCTAAACGACTAGAACCTGACCTCAGTGTTGTACAGTTTCTTAGATCACAACCCTTCCTCTTTTGATCGTCATCTATGAATGTTTATGATCTTTATCAAATAAAACCAAATCACTGCTGTCTCCTGTCAACACTCATTAAAAAAACAATGCAGTGTTTTTTTTTCCTTTAAAGTTGAGATGTTACATTTTTATATCACTTTTCATCAATGAAAACTCTTAATAACCAGAATCGAATAAAATTCCAAGAATTTTATAACTGTGTAAAAAACTCTTACGCCTTTATAACTTAACAAAATCATAAAACTCTTCTGCACCCAGGACAAATATAATAAAATGTTTAATGAAGTTTTGGAAAACAAACAGGAAGCTTAGCCAACCATTAACCGAGAAACAATACGGTATCATGAGGTTTTAACCGTGTCTTTGAAAAAAAATCAATAAAAACCCAGGTAACTTTACACAACCTATTAACATCGTCTGCAGGATCCAATTAATCTTGGAAGAAAATTGGCTTCAATTAACAGTCGGCTTTCGCTTAACACGTTCTGCGGTAATTTGACGTACATGACAAATATTCTATAATTCACTGATGCCCATTGATAGCAATAAACAATTAGAGTTACATATAATCAATACACATTAATCTGGACACTAATTAAATGTAATCCTAATATGTCTGGATACTAATTAAATAAAGATGTGAACATTGATTAGATATATTACTGAAGAGAAAATGGACGAAACTCATGAGAGATTTTTTTATTCTGTCCACTCAGAATTCATTTGCTCATTCATAAAAGACAATGCATCCACAGGCATTAAGTATGTTATTTTTTTACCTATATAC